CAGAGTTGCCACCAAATCAGGGAAATCAGGGAATTCAGGAAAAATCAAGGAAATTTAGATACAATCAGGGAAAATCAAGGGGAAATAATTAATTTAGAAAAAAATCAGGGAAAATCAGGGAACTTTTTAATTTTTCTTTAACGTTTTGATAATTTTTCTAATAAAAATCTTTCTTTTCAAGGGTACCAGGGTTAATGTTTAACATTTTAACAATTTAAAGGTACCAGGGTTAATGTTTAACATTTAATAAGAAAATTAATCATATTGTGTTTACATTAATTCAATGTTTGCAACTCAATTCAAAGAATAATGGTTAAGTGATCCTTTGTTTGAAAAATGACTGGTAATAGGCAGTGTAAAAAAGTCTGCCTAGTGAAAAATATGAAAAATTTAATTTGTCAAATATGCAAAAGAGTTATGATAAGTCACATGGATGTCAAAAAAAAGCACAAAAGTCAATGCCAGTATCTTGCCTGCACAGTCTACATCTATAAAGCAAGCACTTCAAACAGTAGATTAATGTGATAAAAGTTGTACAGAAATATACTCTGTTTTAAATGCAATACAGAATAATTTCTAATTAAACTTATGTAATGAAAATTGCCTACTTTACCAGAAAATGTTGTATAATCAATTTTGGTAATGGGCCTTATTTTTACAGACTTTTAACTAAAAATTTAAAAAATCTCCTTATTATAATCTTTCACTTGATGAAAGCCTGAACGATTCTTTTAAAAAGAGCCAATTGGATCTAAATATTCAGATTTGGAGCAGCAATCTAAATCATGTTGAATCCAGATACTTTGACTCTAAATTTTTAGGTCACCATATAGCAAAGAGTTTAATTAAAAGTATGACTGAACTAAGTATGGAAGGTAAAAATGTGAACTGGTCCCTTCTTAATCTTCTTGAAATACACCATGATCAACAAGAGCTACCTAAACTTCTTAACGTTGGGAGCTGTAACCTTCATCTAATACATGATTTCAAATCAGGTTTTCAATCTGCTGAATGGAATATAAAGAAGTTAATGAAAGCATCATACAACCTTTTTTATGATTCTTCGGCTAGAAGAGCTGATTATGTAACAGTTACTGAATGTGACAGTTTTCTTTATGCATTTTGCTCAAAACATTGGGTTGTAGACCAAAACGTTGCAGATAGACTTTGTTTAATTTGGGAGAATGTTAAAAAAACTAACCAAGTATCGGAAGACTCTTCTTAAAAGTAAGCAACCAAAATGAAAGAGCTATGACAAGTGTTCGAAAGTTGTTAACAAGGCCAAAAGTATCAAGACCAAGGCCAAGGCTACGCGTTACAAGTCCAAGATCAAGGCCAAAGGTTACAAGGCCGAGGAAAAACCCAAGGCCAAGAGTTTAAGGCCAAGGCCAAGATTAGGAGTTTCAAGGCCAACGTCTACGCAAACATTTTCAAAACCAAATACTTTAACTTTTGCATTGCGTTAGGGCCAATTATTAACACAACTGTAAGTAGCAAGTGGTGTGAAAATAAAACCACATTTTGTAAAAATATACCAAGGTTATGGGCAGAATTAAGCAAAATCAATAAGAAAATTGGTTTTTTTAAGGGCCAAGACGAAAATTTTCAAGGTCAAGACCAAGGCCAACAGTTTCAAAGCAAAGACCAAGGCCAAGGCCTCAATTTTTAGCCTTAATGCAAGGCCAAGGTCAAGGCCAAGGACTAGCAACTCTGGTTCGGGGGAATAAAAGATGAATTAAATTTGACTAAATTGAAGTTTTTTGGTTACATTGCAAGTTTGTTGCAGAAAAACTTACTAAGATATCAAATCAATGCCCTAATGATTCCTTTTTTTTTTGAAGATTTGTTCTCAACTGTTCAAAGTTTAATGGGTTTAATTATAAAACAAAATGTCCTTTGCATTGTTAATGGCAGGTATCTTCAGAAATATGATTTTTATGCTATTAAAATTAATGACAATTGGATTTGCTGCAGAACGTGACATAATCGAATTGAGGAAAAAGGATACATTATCTCAGGATGTCACCAACAGTTTTATAAAAGATTATGTCTCATTATCATTGTAATTCTGGAAAAAATATTTGAAAGATGTTTGAATCGAATTTCTTTTCTGAAAGCAACTAGTTGCATCAGTCCCATGTCAAATCTTTCGAAACAAAAAGCTGATATTCTTATTCATCAGATGAAATCTGTACTACATCTAGTTCTTTCGTGCTCACATATTACTTCAAATGAATGTGATCAAGCTTTCATACAATATTTAAAGTTGTTATAGGAAAGTTCATCTACTCTTTTACTTGTATTCAAATATTTTCACACTGGAAATTGTTTAAACAAGTTTTATTTTGAAATCGTTAAAGTTGGTGTAGGTTTTATAAAGGTTTGGCAAAAGTTTTGATATTTATTTTTTTGTTATATCATAGGCAAGCATCAATTGAAAGAGGTTTCAGTAATACCAGTAATATGCTCAGTGAAAAAATGAAAGGAATGTCACTTATATCTCGTAGCTCTATCAAGGATTTTATGGTGTCAAACAAATTGAAGGCTCACGAAATAGAAATAAACAATGAAATGATAAGTGCTGTTTGTAGTGCCTCATTTCAATAAAAAAACTATTAGAAAGAAAATAGAAAACTTCAAGCAAAAGAAAATAGCGTGATAATGCTTTTAGATCAAAAAATTTTAAGACTTAAAGAAAAGCAAAAAGTATTAAAAGATGAATGTAAAACATAAAATTGGAAATTTATTACATTCATTACATTTTTTTGAATTTCATTATTTTGTACCCGAGAAGTCTGACAGGTTTTCAATGCCTATTGACGTATATTTAAGACGGATATGTATCCGTCTTAAATATACCCTGGTTCAAAGAAAAATTTCATATGTTGGTTGAAGTATTTGATTATTTATTTTAGGTTTCAAGCAAATTGTTTGGTTCATTACTCATTGGGGGATTATAGTATCTGTTTTTTAGAGGTAAAAATGCTCTGGGGTTATTGGAGAAGTTTAAATGTTAATTTTGGGCATTTGAATGCTGGAAATATCAGGGGAAAATTAGCAAAATTCAAAGGGAAAAATCTGGAAAAATCAGGGAGAAAAAAGTAAAATTTTAGCGAAAAATCAGAGAAAATCAGGGAGGAAAAAGCAAAATTTTGGCAAAAAAATCAGGGAAAATCAGGAAATTATGTTCCTAAATAATGGTGGCAACCCTAATATTGTAGGAAAAAAAGATGATTATCTTGTTTGTAATCAACATTTATTAGATCACTTCTCTCCAATACTTGATAACTCCAAATATAATAACGATTCTGAGTTAAATATATTGGTTTTAATTCAATCGATAAAGAAAAGTTAACTGAAAATAGTAATTATGACGAATTTATAACAAATAGTTGGGAAATATTTATGAGGCAGGATACAATTGAATCCATTGATGTAGAGTCATTGTTGGATGATAGCAGTGAGGAAAGTGAACCTGATATTGAAAATGAAAAAAAAGAGCTATCATTTGATTTCTATTCCTATGCAACACATAATTCATTTGCCTTATTTTTGTACAAGTCTTTGCTCTGAAACTCTATCACTTTCTCTACAAATTAATATTGATGGATTACCTTTACAGAAGTCAAGTACTCAACAATTTTGGCCGATTCTAGCAAGAGTATCAATCCCATTTTCAAGTAATCCATTTTTGATTGGCTTCTTTTGCGGTCAAAGTAAACCAGTTAACTTGAATGAATATTTAAAAGATTTCATTGAAGAAATGTTAGAATTTGAAAAAGGTCCTGTTAAAATTGATCTAGATGGTAAAAAATACTCAATAAACATTGGTATATCCTGCTTTGTATGTGATACTTCTGCAAGGGCATATATAAAACAAACTAAAGGACATACTGGATATTACAGTTGTGATAATTGTATCCAAAAAGGGGAATGGCACAGTAAGGTTACATTTCTTAATACTGATGCTACACTTAGAACTGATCATTCTTTTAATGAAATGGCAGATGCTAATCATCACATTGGAAATACTCCGCTTAAAAAATTGTCTATTGGAATGGTAACTCAGTTTCCACTTGATTTTATGCACCTAGTGTGTCTAGGAGTAATAAAAAGGATTGTGATGTTTTTAATAAAAAGCCCTGTTAGTGATGGAATAAGATTAGGAAAATCATCTATTAATGGCATTTCAGAGAAATTAATAGAGTTTAAAAAATTTATTCCTTGTGAATTTTCTAGACGATGTCGGCCTTTAAGTGATATAGAGCGTTGGAAAGCAGTGGAATTCAATTAGTTTTTATTATATAGTGGCATTGTTGCACTAAAAGGACATCTTTTGAAATCTGTATACAACAATTTTCTTTTGTTTTTTGTTGGGATACACTGTTTAGCCATTTTAGATCTTTATCAAAGTCATACTGATTATGCGGAATCTATCTTACGCGCCTTTGTAAAAAATGCTATAAAAATCTATGGCAGAGGTTTTAATAGCTACAATGTACACAGTCTAATACACATTGCAAGTGATGTAAAAATATTTAGACCTGTTTATAATTACTCTGCATTTCCGTTTGAAAATTTTCTAGGACATTTAAAGCATTTAATACGTAAACCTTATTTACCACTTCAACAGGTTATCCGGCGTAAATCTGAAAGAAATGGATCTTTTATAAGAAACTCTGATAAATGTATGAAGGAAGACATTCCCAGGAAGCTGCATGAAAATGGTCCTATTGTTTTAAGAGCACAAACAGAGTGTCTGCAGTATCAAGAAATTACTTTAAATGAAAAAGAAATGAACTGTTGTTTAATTCGTAACATATTAAAGTCTCATGGTGATAATAAACATTTTATTGTTTATGAAATATTTCTTACTATTGAACTTTTCTTTAGATATCCTGCAAAATCTTTCGAATGTTTTGGTATAGTAAAGGTCTTTAAGTTATCATGTCAGTATGAATCTGCTACAACAGATGAAATACAGAAAAAAAATGTTATACTACCATGCAAGTCCAAATTTGTTAGTATTCCTCTGTCTATGAAGCCTCAAATACATAAATAATAAACTGGAATTTTTTTTTCTTTTTTCGCTAAATTTTTGTATCAGCGCTCATTTGCATATAAGTATTAGTATTTGGTATTACTGATTTTCATGTTAATCTTTTTATTTCAGTTAGTAATGTATTATTTAGTTGAATTTGAGGATGGAGTGGCAGTGGTTTCTCATTGCTGGTTGTTACAAGAATCAACTACATGTTATTGGCCTCAGGGAATTGGTGCTACACAATGGTCAAAAATGAACAAGTTACCAATTCCTAATCACAAAGATTGGCCTCTTTATTATTATATAAGAATATTGAAAATTGGAGGTATATAATTTCTATATGTTTTTGGAAAGTTTTGATTATATGATTTTTTTCTGCAAATTATAATTTTCCAGACTATGAAAAGATGAAAAAGGCAGAGGCTAAATCTTTGCACTACACAGATTTTTCTTCAAGTTGTTCGGAAATAAAACATGATTTAAAGGAGAAAAATTTGCAAACGCAATGGCAAAGTATATCATATTTATTGTATATTTTTAAAATACAATATTCTAAATGATTCTAAATGCAAACTAGAATTCTTAGCTTGAAATTTTAAATTCATTATTATTTACTTACAATTTTATTAACATTTTTTTTTCAATTTTAGGAGTCCTGACATTTCAATTTAGAAAAAGGAAAAAAAAGAAAATTCGAAAATCAAGAAATAGAAAAACTCACCAATTAATCCATCAGAAAATTCTAATTCTGATTCTTCAGATAGTGAACATTTGGTACAACTTCTTCAAAAAACCCCATGTAGACAGTCAACTTCAACCACTTCCACAGATCAAACTGATAAACCTTCACCAGCTAGTTCTAGCACAAACATCACATCTTCAATTTGTAAGTTTTGCATTTAAAATAATATTCTAAAATTAATATGTTGCATATTGCAAGTTGGCATATGTGTTCAATTATATTTTCAAAAAAATGTTCTTTTTATAATAGACCGCTTTTGAAAGTTACAAAATACTAATTTTTTTTATGGTTCCGGGGGCTCTAATAAGTTAAAGGTTTTTTTTTATTTTTTATTTTGAAGTTAACATTTATAGTTCCAAAGTCTCTCAACTTTTTTAAAGCCCTAACACTAGAAATTATGCAAATAAAAACGATTTTGTGACTTGCACAATTCCTAGAGTCATTTAGGGGTCTCTATATACTTGAAAATTTTCTATAAATATAATTTATTGTAATTTTTGGATAGTTCCTGATTTAGTAAAACAAGCTGTGGCTGATGTTGTTCGACCATATTTTCATAGTGTTATTAAACAGTTGGAGGAAATTAAGTCAGAGTTACGCGTGCAGCGCCAAAAGCAAGTTTCTATTAATCACAATACAAGTGGAAATCTTCCAGAAAACTTTACATTTCCATTAAAAGAAATAGATGAACTCTTACTGTTAAAAAGCATTTTTCTGGAAAATACTGAATGTCGATCAAATGCAGTAAGTCTAATTTTATCATTATATAATATAAAGAATATAAAAGTTTACTTTTATTTTTTAAATTAAATAAGTATATTTTTTTCCATTTCGAATTGACTTCATATATAATAAAGTTTATACTATAGTATAAACTCATTTTCGTATGCAATAGCAAATGAAAAATGTTCTATAATAAATTTTTGTATTATAATTGTTTTAAGGATCACAAAAAAATCTTTCCATTCTAATATTGCTTATTTTATTATGCAGATGCAGTAAGAAAAAGTTATCCTACATCGACAGCTAGTCAACTGGACAAAATACTTTTTAAATGGCTGTCAGGGTCTATTGACAAAGACGGACTAAAAAAAGCTCGAGAAGATAGTCGAAAAAATTGCTAAAAAAGTTTATAAAAGTCTATAAAGTTTTTATCAAGTTGCTTTTTTTTATGTTTTTAATCTTACTTGTAATTTTGAAAATCAATTATGAAATGTTATACTGTGTTCATTTCAAAAAAAATGGTACATTTAATAAATATACGAATATATTAATAGTAATATTTAAGTCAATATCATTTATTCATTAATATTAGTTATAATTAAATTATTATTATAGTTAAAATATCATTATAATTTTTCAATCATAATAATAATATGTATTATTTAACAAAATCATTATGATAATTATAATGTAATAATGAAAGATGTTAATCTAATTTTCACGTGCTGACCATTAAATTAAGTGACTTTTCCTTGCCTTTAGAGGCAGGAAAAAGATTAGACCCTTTATATGAGGAATTTGTTTTGGTAAAAATATTGTGGAACTGAATATCCGAACAAAATAGATCTGGGTCCAGATCTCAAAATTAGGATACAGGTAACCAGGTAATCGGATTTAGATCTTGGATCCAACTATGCCCTACACATTAGGGTTTTATTCTGGTTTTAAAATTAAAGTGTCATATTTCTAAACATCTCAGTTTCAGTTTAAACTAAAAATTACAATGACACTCTTTTTTTAACACCAGATTAAAACCCTAATGTATTCACAGGTGATCTGTTTTCAGTGATGGTGGATTAAAGTTTTATTTTGATAGATTTTTATTTGTTCTGTTTTTTGTCTATCTCTGTTTGTTCTTGATATTTGCTTATGCAGGGTCAGTTAGAAAACTATCCCTATGTGACGATTAGTAAACCGGACAAGATGCTGCCAAAATGGCTATCAAGTTCACTTGACATGGATGGCCTCGAAAAAATCGCTAGGAGAGGCGTAGAGGAAAGTTCTTTAGAAGACATTTAATTTTTATATTAAATGTAATGGAGTGTTTTTTATGTGTTTCTTTTCTTTTTTACATTGTTAATTTTTTTATTGGATACTAGTTGAGAATATTTATCGAATAAATTTCTTTTATATGACTTACGTTTTTTGATTTTTATATCAAACAAATTGACATTTCTTTTATTTTAAAAAGATTATTTTGAAATAAAATTCAGTTATTCTATGTATTACAAGTTTGTTAGCATGGAAGTGACAATTCTAAGCTCTTGTTTTCAAAAAAAATGTGTGAATAAAGAACCATGAATAGCCAATATTAGGCTTGAATTGGCCGATATTGGGCTTGAATTAGCCAATATTATGCTTGAATTGCCCAAAGTCGGGGCAGTATTAGCCTAAATCGCCCCGTTAATGGTCAATATTGGGCCATGATCCCAAATCAAAGCCAATCAAAACCAATAATAGCCCAATATTGGAGCCATGATTTATCCAAGAAATCGGCTAATATTTGCCCAATAAAGGCCCAATATGCGCTCCCCAATATTTGCCCAATGTTTGCGGCCAATATTTGCCCAATATAGTAGCCAATAACTGCCCAATCATGGTCCAAGGAATTTGTGCTATCTGGGCTATTTCTTATATATGTTTAAGAAGTTTTTTTTTAAATCTTTTATTAAGTCGTACGCGTCTATTACACATCGTATATGTTTAAGAAGTTTTTTTTAAAAATCTTTTATTAAGTCGTACACGTCTATTACACGTCGTATATGTTTAAGAAGTTTTTTTTAAAAATCTTTTATTAAGTCATACGCGTCTATTACACGTCGTTCTCTTATAAGTTGATTGCCATATGAGTTCAAAAAATAAATTATTTTTCACATATTTGTTATGTTATATAATTGTGTTATATAAAATACTTTATCAGGGTAAAGCGTCTTGAAAGTATCGATAACTCCTGAAAAAAAAAAAAAAAAAAAAAAAAAATAAAATACATATCTTCTTAAAAAAAAATGTTAGGGTGGCAAATTTTAGAAATAAAGCTTTTAAAACACATCGCATATATTCTTTAACGTTTCCACCTCACTCTTTGTATCCAGGAGTCATTTCCAAGCTTTCGAAAAAACAAACCTTGAGAGTTTCCTAACAATATTAAATTAAAAATGTAATAAAACTATTAACCAACTTAAAAACTAAAAGATTTTAACAGCTGTATTAAAAATATAAAGGAAAAGTACTTCCTTACCCAACCATTGGTTCAGCCCAAAAGTGTAAATTTGTTCAGATTCGTCTTCCAAATTCTTTCGCCAAACGGAGTCAATAAATCTTGATGCATTATTGTCATAGTCTTGATTGCTTACAGCAAGCCATTTCTTATAAATACTATGAAACATCATATATGTTTTTCGATTACGATGAATGGCGTAAAACTCTTTTGTCACAGAGTGATGACCGAGAACGGAACCAATGATAATATCTAATTCTGAAATGAACTTTAAAACATTAAGGGGAAAAAAAAGTACAGTTAGCTGTTAAATTAAATTTATTTTATAACTTAAATAAAATAGTTTTATTATTTTAAAATATATTTAAAACAGTCAAAATTATTACTACAGTTTTCGACTTAAAAAAACGTTATTCATTTAACAACTATGTTAATAACATGGCCTAGTAAAGATACAGTCGTATTTCACCTTCGTACGAAAAGTTCTATTTTGAGTAAGTAATATGTCAATTATAATTGGCACACAAAACATTTTTTATGACAGTTATGCTAAATGCCATTGCACAGAATTTTTCTTGCCATTATAATGCAATTATTTATTTTTTTTACAATTATCACTTAATAACCATAATTATTGATTTACGATATGAATGCAGGTGGGTGAATAGTATGGGAATCGGAGTTATACCTCGAAAAAAATCATATAAAGTTACGCTTTTGCGCATAGGTTAGTTAGCATGTCAGCAATGACCAAAAAAAAGCTTTGTGTTTTTGAGAACAGGAGATGTCATTTTAGGCCTATTCTTCAATTAAAAATTTGGGCAAAATGACCAAATTTTTTATATTGCCAAAACTATAAGTTTTATATATCATTTGAAAGATATTTAAATGCCGAGCAAAAAGTTTGTTCATGCAAAGTTTTAAAAAAGTATGGTTCGTGAGTTATGGTCGCCTAAAGTAAAAATTATGACGTCATCGTTTTTGAAAAAATATTTTTACTTTGAAATCGTAAGCATGATATACTGTTAAAAATAGAATCTAAAGCTAAGTAAAATTTTATCTTAGCTCATAGCGTGAAAATATTGGTGCTGTGGCTAAGTGGGGAGGGTTATAGCGCTAGGCCCTACACATTCATAGACTCGGAACTTTTTTAGTTGACCTTTTTTTCGGCCGTTTTTATTGACATTGGTTCAACTTTGCGATTATAAGTTTTTATCATTAATAATGTTGTTTATTGCATTTTCCATATAATAACACAAAAAAATATTTCAGTTAATATGAAAATGTTTCGATATTTATTCCAATGGCTTCTGAATTTTCACAATTAACATGTCTTTTTCAAATTCTGAAAAGACTTCACTCGATAACGAGTGAAGGTGAGTATCTTCGTATTCAAAAGGATTTCTCGTTTTGAACTAGCCGTAAAATTTTTGGAAATCTTCATAATCGTTTATTCTACATGTGAACCCCATTTCTAGATGTTGGTCACTAGTTCCAATTTCAACATCTGTAAGATTTATCATTGCGTCATGAACAGCAGCTATGTAATTAATACTTAAAACCCAAAGGAGGCATACATTCTCTACGAGACCACGGTCTCTTGTTAACCCACCGATAGTTTTAAGGGACCGCATAAGCGTTTGTTAACTCACAAGATCTGACCATAGTCCACCCCAATATCTGCTTGTTCTTCAAACCTATCATGAAGCCAAGAGTTAGTCTCTGAAAGAGTTAATATTTCTTAAAAATACATTCTAGCACTTCTGGCATAATTTACATGACCAGTTGCTGCAAAATAAATTCAACATTTTCTTCACGGCTTGCAGATGTAAATACCAGTTCGAAGTCCTTTCTGCACAAATGAATTTTTTCACGACGTCAATATATTTCATATATTGAATTCATAACGTGGCTGTACGCAATTCACCTTTTTTTTCTCAATAAAAGCAGATAATGCACTCTTAGTTCGTTTAAAAACATCACTATTTTCCAACTCAATTAGTTTTTCCTTGTTCATAACGTGATCATTGTATTTTGATAGGCTGGTATAAAACCAGCAAGATCAATCATATTTTCTTCTATTAATGACTCCATTAAACAAATCGTTAAAACGCTTTGAATTAAGATATGAGCTCTAAGAGATTTAGCAACTACATTTCCTGAAAACATATGTTGAACAGTATGCTCTGCATACATTTCTTTGAAGATTTCCTCAAGTCCAGATCCAGACATTAGCTTACCAATGCTCGCAAGAAAACTCATGAGTGTGTGAAATCCACTTTATCAGAAAAAAACACTAAATCTAAGTCTAGAAAGATGATCAACAAGCCATTTTGTTGAAAACAATTTGTCAATGTCCACTCCTATCCCAAAAGAAATCGATGCAATAACTGATTTTGGTCTAGAGCATTGAGCAATGCACTGAACAATACTGATTTGCTTTAGTTCTGATGAAATCAAGAACTTTAAAAAGTTGAGAACGTTTGCTGGAGCCCAGTTTTTGGCATAACTTAAATCGTTCATTTGATTAATTATGGGATACTTAAATTTATTACAAGAAATTACTCTGATGTCGTTCTTTATGATTTTTGCTGCGGCTGCAGTGATGTCATCGGATGTTAGTTTGTCTTTTTTCCTAAAATTTTCCATAATGATCCAAGTCAATCTTATTTGCTTTAAAGACATTTGAAGCAAATAAGATTTTGTTGACCTGGTGCTTCTCTAAAATATATATGATTACCATAATATTCTACAAGCTTATTTTTCAAATGTTTAATGAAGTAACACGGAGAGTCTTTACTAAGTTCTAACATTTTATCATGTATCTCGTTTAATGTGCAAAGGTCACAATCGGCATCTTTTTCTAATTTTTTTTATTTCCAGTCAGTAAATTAAATCTGAATTTGTTCATGCAAGGAATGTAATAAACTACTTTTTCTGCAACAAGATCATTACAACTTGATCAACAACCTAAAACTTCTCTTCCCCATTTATCAGCTCTACTTTTAAATTGGTTAAGAAGCTTATTTCGAAGTGGTAACGCTCTCACTTGAGTAACAGTACTGTTTTTACCATAAGCTGATTTGGTACAATAAAAGGAAGGAACAGGATTTCCACTTGTAATGTACATCTGTAATTAAGATGATTAATATAAAGTAGGAAAAACGATTAATATAAAGTAGGAAAAACGATCATTTTCAATGTGTTCTTAATTGGGACAACTTCTATATTTATATTCCTTGAATCAACAAACCTTCTTCTGTAATTTAATTAGGCCATATTTTATGATTAGCATTTGATTCTATTTTATCCTATATATTTAAATATACTATTCAAATCATATATTCCTCTTTTATTGCAGATTCTCTTTAAAGTTTGGAGTCTTCTCTTTTTCACTTAAACTGATGGACACTTTTCAAAGCTACCGTTACACAACAAACAAGTTTCATTCACCTCTTTATATACTTTCTATTTATACTTGTACTGAACTAAATTTGTACGAAATTTAATTTAGTTATATACCTATATGTAATATTAATATATATAAATCTAATATATATGAATGTAATATAATAGTATAATATATTATCTTATATATTGGAATAAAATTACACTTGTTATAAAATAAATATTTTCATTGCAATGTCTTTTATTCAACACAATTTATTCAAAAAGTTTCTCTCAAGAACAAAAACTATTCATTCAAATTTATCATTCAAATAAATTTTATTACATGTACAGTTTGTCAATATTTTACTCAGTATTTTACTCAACATTAAATTATATTTCTAAAGGTATAATTTCAAAGAAAGAATATTCTTTCAAAAACGATGATGTCATAATTTTCACTTTAAACAACATAACTGACGAACCATACATTTTTAAAACTTTGCGTAAGCAAACTTTTTACTAAGCCTTAAATTATCTTTCAAATGATATATAAAACTTATAATTTTGGCCATATAAATAATTGAGTCCTTTTGCCCAAATTTTTAAAAGCTAGGGAGACAAAGCTCGTCTCCAGATCTTTGTTGAAGGTTTTGAATTTTTTTTTTTGGCAACTGTAAATGTTCTTAGTATTAAAATGCTGTAAAAAAATGTTGTAAAAAACATGCATGACACTGCACCAGTATCTCTGGTCAAATGGAAATTTGTTGGTACTTGTTTAGCGCTTATTTGTTCTGCCAAACATTGCAACTTTTCTAAACTTCGTTTCAGAATTTGATATAACTGCCCAACATGGATCTTTATACCTTTATATTAAATATCTACCTGGATCTTTATATTGAAACTATGGTCTTTTTGCATATGTTTTATATTTTCCAAAACTTTACAAATTTTTCAATAAAAGTGTTTGCTTTTTTTATGTTACTGTTGGGTTTTAGAGCAGTTTCGTCACAAAAGACTAGTCGACACCTTTTAAATAGGTTTTTAATGTAACAGAAAGTTTTATAATGTTATTTTCTTTGAGTCTAAACAAACTTAAAATATTAGAGCAACATGCAACTTTAGTTTTTCCATTATATTTTTAATATTACTGTTGACTTTTTTCTGTGATTCATTTATTACAAACAGATTTTAATATATGTTAAAAGTCATATAACAAGATTGTATTTTCATAACACATTCAAACTTAAATATATATATATATATATATATATATATATATATATATATATATATATATATATATATATATATATATATATATATATATATATATATATATATATTAAACAATTATTGTCACATATTAGGGCAACAGGAACCCCTTCAGTGCTCTTAATTCTCTTTAAAACAAAAAGAGTTTGTTTAAATACAAACTCATAAATTGCAAGATTAGGACCTTCATAAAGTGAGATTAATGTAAAATTTAAACCTTTGAGGATAAAGGGACATATTTGTCTGATCTGTTATAATATATATACGTCTATGACTATGAATAAGACTATTCATGCATTGCAAATCTTTACAAATATAATATTTTTACATTATTAAAAGTTTATTCTTTGAAATAATGTTGCTTGACCAATCATTCCAATTTTTAAATAAATAAAGTCACTTGCAACCATTAATTATTTAATTAGGTTAACTCTTAGGGCTCTCAAAGGATTAAAAAAGTAGTTCCTAAACAATCTGGCTTATTTACTACCAAAGACTGAGCTAACAAACTAAGCTAATGGAGATTTAGTCTATTAAAAAAACTTTTTTAACTTTTAATTTTAAGCATCAAAAAAACTTTTAAACTTTTAAAAGTTGAAATATCTAGTGCAGAATCCATATTTTGAAGTTAGTTTTGTAATAAGGGAAATACTTACAAGTTCATAACCTTCTTTTAATCTCCTAACTAATGATCTTGGAATCACAACATAATCAAAATGTTTTACAATAGTTTCTGTGCTGTACTTTTTTTTCCAGATTGTACTAATGCTCATGCTACAAATGTATAGAAAAAAATTCATTATTAATAATAAAAATCTTGTTTTCAGATAGAGATGCAATTCTATGATTAATTTAATAAATCTTTTGAAAATAAGATAATTTTTGATCTTCAACACATAAATCTGACAATCTGAGAGTTTTCTTTAAACTGTTGACTGAATAATCAGGCAAGGGAGTGATACCAAGTTGCATTAACTTCCCCAAAATCAACTTCCCTATATTCTTTTCATCTTTTGATGTAATGACCTAAAACATTGAATTCTTACTGGAGGCTTACATACCCCATATTACGAGGCCTGTTAGTACAGATGGCCATGTTTTAATATAAAAAGGGAAATTTTTCACATACTAACTTTATTTTTTTAATGTTTTGGATTTTTTTAATGTTTTGTCACAAATTAAGTTGGTTATGAAAGTGGAATCACCTAGTTGATGTTGCATACGATTGCAAATACACATGCATACCTGCATTAACTTTTAAAAATTTGGTTGAAGAATATTGTTTTTATTTTATAAAATCTTTAATAAAAAAATGCAACACTTATATGCTTTAAGTTAAAAGTCATCTTTAGTTTCATGTTTAATTTAAGCCATGTAAACTTGCTAGAATGTCATACTTATTAAAGATTTATAATTTCTGGAAAAAAATTCAATCAAAACTGTATACTTTGTTTAAAGCCAACCATATTAACAATATAGATTAACCACTAACATATATACATTTAAGTTTCATTTTAACAACAACAACAACAAAAATATACATTGAAAATCAATACATTCTTTTTGTCATTCTATTGTTGCCTTATTGGTTACATTTTAAATTTCTGACAAACCATTCAATATACTTCATGTAACGCGGTAGTGGTATAGTGGTAGAACACTCCCTTCATAAGCGAAAGGTTTCGAGTTCGATTCCCATCATGTCCCTGGTAGTACCGCGCTCAACTCTTTTCATTCGCCGTGCAGCAGCCTTCTTTGGCAAGGTTTGTGTTTTAGAGTTATTGAGTTGGGAGACGATTATAACTACAAGTAGCTTCCGCATTTGTTGAGGCCTTCCTGGCCTTGGGGAGGCGAAGTACAAATTAAAAAAAAAAAAAAAAAAATTTAAACTAAATAATAAACGAGAAAATTCTCTGCAGCAACTTAACAATAACTTTTTTTTAATGAGACTACAACAAGTTGCTACAACAATAATTTCGTTATCAGATGTTCGGTAGTTTTTTAATTCAATATTTAATAAGTTAATATCAAATAAGTTTAATTTTAAAAATCACTTTTGAGGTAAAATGTTAACTAAAATAAATTTTCATGTATATTATGCACAGTTCGCCTTAACTAAATTTAGGTTTTTTGAATTGTGTCCAAATTAATTTCAACATTTTCTGAGAGAGTATACTTTACTCATTACTATATATACAGTCCACCAAATCAGAAAATTCTATTAAGTAATTATGGCATTTTAAATATTTTTTTGCGTCTTTTTTTTGCGCATTTTTTGCCATCATGACTCTTCCCGCTAAAACACGAAACAGGTAAAATGTTATTTTATTTGTACGTCTGTTGTAAAGAAATACAAAGTTATAATTTCTTTTATAATTTTAAGAAACTAAAAACTTGTAGCTGTTAAATATGCCAAATTTCAAGAACGAAGGGAAGGATAATCAAGAAAAAATCTGGTATAAAGAGTTTTAAAACGGCAGTTGTTAGTTTGCAGTGTAGTTTTGGTCTGATTAAAGTTAAAAGAGATTGCATCATAAATGTAATCTAACAACGCTCAGGTAGAAAACGTATTTATAACTTTGAATAATTGACTTTGAAAGATTGTATAACACGTTCTATAGAAAACAAATTCTATGTAAATTATTTTTTCAGAAATAACATATCAGCTGCACCAGGATATTAAGGTATTAGAAAAGCTGTATTATTTTGCGTTACTAATAGAGAGATAAGTGAAAGAAATGTTAAGATTAATAAATCAAAAATGATGATTTTAATTTAACCTTAGTAAGCTTTTGAACCTTAGTAAGCTTTTATTTAGATGTCGAGGAACAAATGGCTTCCCATGTTATTAAATAAAAGCTATCTAGTGAAAGTGGTAACACCATTTCATTGAAGACAGGAGGTAGTAAACTAAAATTATCTATTGGATCTGAGAATACTCTGAAAACAACCAATTTTATTCACAAAAATCTTCTTTGTATTCAGAATTCTCTTTCCTTAAGTAATCATCAAATGATAAAACTTGCTAATATGATAAGGTAAAATCACAATACTTATACAAATTCTGCACAATAAAATGATGCAATATTTGTAGCAAAATTTATTATTAAAAAAAAAAAGAATAATTATTTTAAAAAAAAGAATAATTATTATTAAAAAAAAAAAGAATAACAGAGTTGTTGAAAAAAGAAAAAACACTGAAAAAAGAAGGAACCTGGACTGAAAGACTCTGATTTGAATAGTTATCTTCTCCAATTATTGACTGAACAAAATATTTTATTTGAATTTAAAAACAAAGATAAAACTTTGGAATACAAAAATATTACAGTGGCGTACTGCAATGTTACTCTTTTTATTAAACTACTCCGGGATCTTAAATGTGTTAATTCTAAGAATCATTTGTTTTTAATTGCTATTGACGGGTGAAGTGGCTTTTATCAAATTTTGATTAAATGTAGTTGATCTCAATTAAATTTTTAAAATTACGGCAAATTTGACATAGATTGCCTTAAAACAAAACTCGTAACAACTTGCAGGGGTTCATATAAAGATGATCTAATAAAGAATTCAAAGATTCGTCAGTAAATGCTTTATTTCTTCTTCTGGTAGCTCCAGAGATCCCCGAAAGATATTTTAAGATATTAAAAATTAATTGAAAAACTCAACCTTGAAAAAGTTGAGGATTGGAGTATGCAACATAAAACTTAGCCGAATTCTAACATGTATTCTGGAGAGAACAGTCAATCATGTAATTGATAACATGAAGCAGATTTGGTCGGAAACGAATATGAAGGAGATTTATGAACAGTTGCAAATTATTAAGACTGGTCAGCATGGTGGAAAATTTTAATGGAAATTCTTCTTGAAAAATTCTTAAAAAGTGTTTAATGATAAGCTGCAATTTAAACTAAAATGTTTTGGAGAATGCTTAAAGTTATTTAATTTAGTTGTTGAGTTTTGCGTTGAATCCGAACTTGATAAAAACTTTTAAATTAATATCAAAAATTTAAAAGCCTGCTATAAAAAGTTGATGTTAGAACATGGTATTACTTTAACACTAAAATTTCATATCCTGTTCTATCATGTATCTGAATTCTGTAGAAAAAAAAAAAGGGCCTTAAAAATGAGTATAATAGGAACAATCTGGAGAAAGTGTTCACTACCTCTTCAAAACTGCCTCATGGAACAGCTACAAGGTGTGCGCAAATAATTTTAATTATGGACATAATTTAGTAAGGGCATTAATAATGGAAAACATCTTTTTCTCTTGGAAATGTTGATCTAAATGTTTATATTTCATAGTGATTCAATTCGAGAAGAAATAGTTTTTAATTTTGTATTTGTAAATTTATGTTTGTTTGATGATTTAAAACATTCCGATTATGTGAATATCCACTCTTTAACAATGTAATATAACAAAATAGCTTCTGTATTATTCATTTCCAATAAAGTGTCTGTAACTTTTAACTAAAATTAACAATAAAATTTTGAATGAAAACATGGTGGACCAAAAAATGGTGAAAACACTTGCAAAAAAGGCGGAAAAAAAAAGGCGAGAAAAAAAGGCGAGAAAAAAATCTTTAAAACGCCATAATTACTTAATACAAGTTTCCTGATTTGGTGGACTATATAAATAGTGATAAGTAAACTATACTCTTTCAGAAAACGTTAAAACTAATTTGGACACAATTAAAAAAACCTAATTTTGGTTAAGGCGAACTGTTTATCTTAATTACATTAAGTTTTAATTTCTTGATTTACAAATTGTATTATAAATAAACTAGTTATTTATAATCATTAGCAGATAAATAAGCTATCATTAATAAATTTAGCAAAGAAATAAATAATTAAACTTTTTAAAGTATATCTTTAATATTCATTGTATTTCCATGAATAAAAAAGATTTAAAATGCATAAAATAATTTTTTAAACTAACTTTTTTATAATTATTATTTTTTAAGGTGACTAAATAAATATACTTTAGTATTTCAATTATTAAAATTTAGTTTATTAAATTAATAGATTTGTTGAAGCACTCAAAAGGAAAAAAAACAATATTCACACCTTCAATATAATTATAAATGCTGATTTATATTTGTTATAGTGTATATAAATTACTAGAGTCAGTTAATGGAGAAATGCAATATTATATAAATATATTGCAATTCTTCATAGATATAAAAATACTTTATATTGTATCTTGTATTATATAGTATAAATTATATCATACAAACTTTTGAAGTTTGAGCAAAGTTATTGAACAAGGTAAAAAATTTTAAGATTTTGATTAAGTCAAATGATTAAATGTTTAATACTATAATTATTATATGGTAACAAAAAAAAATAAATAATTAGAACTTACCAGACCACAAAAACCCATCATTATTGGAATAATAACATGCTGATTTAGTACTAAATAAATATAGTTATAATAAAATATTGATGTTATGATAATCGGGTAAAAACTTCTTTGAAAAAGAGTTTATCACCTTGATAAACAAAGACGATGTCCAGAGAAACAAGTTAAGTACACTAATGACATGGTGGGGATCAAACTCTTGTTTATGAAGCAATCAATCTACCACTAATGCATGTTAAAACAATAGAAAAAATGAATCTAGCAATACACCAAAAGAATGTAGTTGTGATGTAGTGGTAAAACTTATCAATTTATGAGGTAGAGAATTCAAACTCAGTCATGTTCCTGGAACATTTACTGTCAACATGTTTCTCTGTGCAGCCTCCTTGTTTGCCAAGATTCGTCTTTTGAAATCTTAAAGTTAATATGTAATTTTATGAAATAGATTGATATTCCTCAAGGGAATATGAGTCAATGAAAATCTAATGAAAAAACATCTTCATGATTTTATTGAGCAAAATCTATCTATCTATATATATTAGGGTTATTCAAAAATAGGTCATTGGTTCCGAGTTCGATCCCCACTATGTCCCTGGTAGCACCGCGCTCAACTTGTTTCTCTGCGCAACGGCCTTGTTCGTCAAGGTTCGTGTTTCGGAGTTATAGAGTTGAGAGAGGGTTATAGCCACAAAATAAGTAGCCTCTTTGTCTGTAGTGGCCTTCTCGGCCTTGAGGAAGTGAAGTATAATAGAAAAAAAAAAAAAAATCAAAAACAAAAAAAAAGAACCCTAGCTTATGGTCTTCCCTGATTCCAAATTAGTACTTAAAATTTTTTACAAAAATTTTTTTGAACATCTGAAAGGTTCCTAAAAAGGACATTTTTTACTTTACCCCGCTTAGGGGACCTTTAAATCTCAACCAATTTAAAAAATAAACTATCCAATAACATGGTAATGAGTTCTACAATTTAAGTTTAAGAATAACTTTTCATAAACATTTTGTTATGTAACTTTTAAGAAGAATGAAATAACATTGAAAATCATCAAAGTATAAAATATTGTTTAAAAACAATAAACATTTGTTTGAATACAATGAAAATTTATTTTAACAAATACAAAACAAAAGCCAAAAATAAATTGGATCAAGTATACATTTTGAAACAAGTATTTTAAAAATAAATTGTAGATAAAAGTAGATATTAAATAATGCTATTTAGTACAGCTTTGACATGACCAAACTTGTTTCTACCATTTCAATTTCACTTGTACACATGAGCCTATTAGTTATTGAACTAATTTGACTGCTCTTTCTGAACAATTATTCACAATATCAAGATTCATGATGGCTGTTTTAGATTCTTGATAGAAATCATTTAAAATCAAATACTCTGGAGGAAGCTTCATTGTTTGAACCTCAGCTTTTTAATGACCAAGCATGTCAATTACAAGCCAGGACTTTTCTGTAACTAGTGGAACTAAACTGGGAGGCTCATCCTGTGAAAAGTTTAAGCTCATTAGTGTCTTTATTCAACACCTGTCTTTCTAAGAAATATAGGGGCTATTTTAGACCAAATAGCCTAAATCTCTATAGGGGCTCATTTTAGACCAAATAGTCTCTTAGACATGTTCTTTATATTTCTGATCTGCCATTGTTATAATAACTAAATATGGATCAAGGTACCAAGTTAAATAATAAGTTATAAATAACAAGTTATATAATAAATATGGATCAAGGTACAATGTTGCATTATGGATTTAGAAACAGCTTGAGCCCCAGCTTTATTCGATTCCTCAAACCTTTTCATCTGCCAGTATGCTTTCAAATCCTGATATTTGAGGCTTAGATTTATTAATGTTTAATTTAAAAATAAATAATATACCTATTTTATGTATTTATTCAAAATTATATATTTGTTTTAAAACAATTATCTAGACTGTGTACCTGCATTGGAATAGCTGAACTTAACTCCACTCTAAGAAACCATTCAGTTTAAAAAATGGAAAGGAAGTTGGTCATTTCAATGATTTTATCCCTGCTCTCTTCATTGTTTTCAGGGATTTTTTCCACAAGTAAAAACAGTTTTAGGTAAAATAAACTTTTACTGATGAATCTGGCATGATGAACAGCTCCATGATTGTGAGGTTTAAATCTGTCGGTGCGTGACAGTACCATCAATGTAAGTTCAGCCAATTCCTTATAATCTTTACAAAACTTTCTATCTTATAATCTTTACGAAAATTTCCATCCTGAACAAATTTTTTTGCTAAGTAATAACTTAAATAACTTACTAGAAAATTATAAAACTGGAAAATTATAAGTGAAGTACTACTTTACTATTTTTGTAAATAGTAAGAGATAATTAGATTTAATTGAATTAGTTTATAATTTTTTTATTACTCATCTTCTTAAAAACCTTAGTGCTAGTTATATGTCTGCAAAATTGAATAGCAATCAGCCTTTGTTCATTAATCTAGGAATCAGTAGGAGTTAACGATCCTTTTAAATCTTAATTTTCAGTATCTAGATTATTCCAAAAAATCTTAAGAACTTTAAGTAATTTATTCTCTGGTCTTGAAATATGACTGCTTGGATGAAGCTCCCAAAAATGGGTAACATGACGCTTAAAAATATGGCATTGACATGCAGTTAATAATATAGGGCACTGTAAGTGCACAATGATTCTGCTACAAACTCCTTTTGTTTTACCTATGTTAGCGCTAATGGCATCAAAGCAAAGACATTCAACTTTATCATCTAAATCCATCTAGAACCTGAGTCAATAGCTGGAATTTCAAGTAACTTGGTTTTTTCTTTAATCCTAGCAAGAACAGCTAATCAATTTTTTGAAAACTCTTTTTCTTCAGTAAGTTCTTTCACAATTTTTTTATTAAAATGATTGTTATCAGAGAAATTGAAGATATAGAAATGCTTTTTATATGGGCTCTGATTTCATTTGCATCCATAAACACAGAATTCTCTGCTGCTCTGTATGAAGAAAAGTTAGAGCATAAAAACTCAGACATGCAGCCTCTAGACAATATTACTCCTAAAAATTGCTGTATGTTGATACTGGTAATACAACTTGGTGAGAATGATCCACTTTTGCTTGGACATCCTACAATAAAACTCAGTTTAACTTCAGATATAGATTTTCTCAGAAAACTGTAGAATTGAAGAATTTCAATTGTAGTTGCAAAATTGTTGTTGGGAATAGTACAGTTTATTTTTTCCATTAGAAAAGTAAAAGTATCATGAATTCTTACAATTTTCTTTTTGGTTGGCATCACATAAATTAATATTATTTTATATTTATCTAAAATTAAATGTTTACATGTAAGTATATTTATTATAATAATCGTATAGGATTTTATTTTAATTTTAAAAATGAAAAATTTATTTTTTATTTATTTAAAGGGATCTTAAACTCATAACACATGTTGTGTTCATATCAAAGATAATGTTAAAAAAAAAAAAAGGTTTGAACCAAATTTTTTTGATTAAAAATAAATAATACAGATTTCAGCAATTTTTTTGACGTGCATTTAATTCATTTAAGTTTTAGTATTTGATGTCACGGTAGACTTATGACAAATGAAAAATGTAATCAAACAAAGCTGCATTTTTCTACTTTATTTTATTAAGTACGTTGTAGTATTTTTTTAACATACAACAAAACAAATTTATTTTTTTATTAATTATTTTTCCGAACATTGCAAAACAAAAATTATTTTTCTAAACATCGCAAAAAAAAAATTTTGTTAAAAGTAAAAATAATAAATTATTTTTATTTTATAGGAGCAACTTAGTTTTTACAGATATCTTAATAATTTTTAGATTTATATATCTTACTTATATTTCTTTTGTTTTCAAATTAAAACAAATATTAAAGCTTTACTTACAAATCTTATGATTTTCATAAGAGTACTTTACATTATATAGAACGTTATATTATATAACAGAGGGAAGACACAAAATAAAAGATAATTGTGTTTGTTTATATCTTGTTTATATCTTAACTCAAACATTACACCCTGCAATGCATATAACTTGGAAACAAACTCATTTTTTAATGCTATTTAATAAATGAAAAACAGAATAACATCAGAAGTTATGATACTATATGGCACAAATTTTGTTAGCAAAAACTGTGAGCTGAAAGAACTTACCAACATCTTGAATTTAATGGTTCATTAGAACCTCATCTTGACAGTGAATTTTAAATAATGGTCAAGACTGAAAAATGTCAAGTAACTGCAATAAATGGAATAGTTGATATTACAGATAAAGAACTCTATATGGCTTTTACAAATGCTGAAAGTTTATTAAAATTGCACCATTAACGTACCAAAGTGTGGATAATGGAATGAACATGTTAACAGTATATTGTTTTTTTCAGCTGAAATTTCATAATATTTATATTTATTTTTGCAGATTATCATAATTTAGTCTTTCCACTTAAAGAATATAAATGAATAGTTTGTTTAAAAAAAAAAAATCTTTATACCAAAAATTGAGTTACTTTTAACACACCAAAAAATAATTGGAACTGTTATTTAATTAGAACTAATATAGGTCAAATTAAAAAATGCTGACATAAGGGCAAGAGTTGGTGCATCACTTTTGTAAATTTTGCATCCATCTTTGAAATAATGGATGTAAAATGGCAAATTTTATTATTGCATTCATTTGTATCATTTTTATAATTTACAAATTTTATTCTTGAATTCATTTTTATCATTTTGTTTAATTATACATTTTATATTGTATATTAATAAATGGAATCAAATTTATATTCTATTAAATACCTTTTCAAAACTTTTGTAACTGAAAAAATATGTATAATATATTAAAATAATTTGCAACATGTATTAAAAAAAATGTTCTAATTCATAAGTTAAAAATTATCATTTAAAAAATCATGTTTTTTACATATAATATGATAATAATAACAGTAATAACAATATAAATAATACTAGTAATATTATATATATATATATATATATATATATATATATATATATATATATATATATATATATATATATATATATATATATATATATATATATATTTGTGTATAAAGCATTATTAAAGGCCAAAATATTTGTGAAGTTTAATAATTCACTTATATGGAGATATTTTAAAAGAAGTGAAGTATAACTAATTGCTAAAATTTTTATAAAATTTTATAATCTTAGTGATATTTTAAAAGCATGGAAAGGCTTAGGTAATCTGGAAAAAAAATAGCTAACAGAAAGATTTCTGCATTTTACAATGTTTCAGGAACAAGTTGCATTATAAAAAAATTTAGTCAGTGCAAAACAATAAAGAGCAAACCTCCCTCTGGAAGGCCTCAAGTTGCAACTAAGACGGTTAAAAAAATTATATATATAAAAAAATATAAAATCATATATAAAATATTAAAAAAAATTTGTTTTGATATATATTCTAAAATTAAATATTAAAGGCATTTAGTATATATAATATATTATATAATATATCATATACTATATAGTATTATATACTTATTATTTTATTTTTTTACATTTAATATATATATATATATATATATATATATATATATATATATATGTATATTAAATGTAAAAAAATAAAATAATAAGTATATATATATATATATATATATATATATATATATATATATATATATATATATATATATATATATATATATATATATATATATATATATATATATATATATATATATATTATATTTTAATATTTATATAAATATAGGCATTTAATATTTAAAATCGAAAATAAAAACTTTATTATAAAACATAAAATTTTTTCATTAAAGTTAATTTTTTCCACTTATGCAATTTCGTCTAACCTCTACAGTTAAGTTATTTTTATGACAGAAATAAATAATTAAATAAACTGTCTGAAAGAAAATTCACAGAATGTTTATCATTGACATTAATACTGTCTTTTTTGTAATTCTGTTGCATACATTTTTATAGTTTTAACAACATTAAAAACTTTGTGTAGCATACCTTTGCGTATATTGGTTCATGCATACATATATGTGCTGGTTACCTGCATCCCAATAAATTCCACAACCATAACTTTCTGTAATTAAAGAAACAACAAAATTCAAGTTAAACAACCTGGTACACATTTATAGTTAAAAAAAAAAAATTTCAAAAATTTAAACTGAACTTAAGGTCAAAACAGGGATTAATCTGAACTTTAAATCCTTTATTATTAAGATTTTGTAAGTTTAAATTTCAATCTAATTTACTATGTATTATTAATTTATCAAATCTTTCAAATTTTAAAAAACTACATCAAAAAAATCTGTTTTACTCATGAAAAACCTGGAAAAATCAGGAATAATCCTAAAGATCATATAAAAAACTTGAAAAACTGAGAATTTTTGAGTTAACTTATCTAACTTTTTTAAAACTATGCATAAATATACCTATTTTAAAATAAATAATTGAATGAAACTTATTTTTGTTATTTTATACTTTTATTCATTTTTTATAATCATAAATTAAATATTTAATAAACTCATACTAAATATAACTAAATAAAACTCATAACTAAAAAAAAAAATGTGAAAATATCTTAATCTAATCTTTCCGCAGAGCAGTATAAGTACTTGCGCAATATTGGAAGTATAATAAATAACAAAATTAATTACATATATTAATCAATAAATATTATCTGTATTAAATAAAGTTTGTTTAAAGTAAACATTTACACACATTGCAAATTCAACTTGAAATGAATCTATATAAAAAAATTCATTTTTGAAAAGTTGATCAAAACAAGAAAAAACATCTAATCTACATGGATTAGATGTGTTTCAATAAACATAGATTTTTTGCTAATAAGTTATTATTAAAAAGTATATATATATAAAAGTTCATGACCGGGAGATAATAACGTTACTACTTTAGGGTGGTAGCCCTTCTCTCATCATAATTATTAAAATATGGCAAATAATGAAATAAATAAATAATCAGCACTGGGATTATCTGAGGAGTATGAGTTTGTTGGTTTTGGTCCTGAAAACACAAAACAAGTGAATCTCAACTACAATGTGGTAATGGTGTAGTGGTAAGAGCGCTCGCTAATAACGTTCGGAGTTCGACTCCTACCACGTCCCTGGAAGTACCGCGCTCAACTTAATTTCTCCGCGCAGCGGTCTTGCTTGTCAAGGTTCTTGTTTTGGAGTTAAAGAATTGAGAGAGGATTGTACCACAATTTACAAAAAAAAAAAAAAAAAAAAAAAAAAAAAAAAAAAAAAAAATGAGTAGCCTCCTTGACTGTAGTGGCCCCTCGGGGCTAGGGGAGGTGAATAATTAAAAAAAAAAAAAAAAAAATCATAAAAAAGTTGACAGTGACAAAGCTTTGTAATTAAATCATGTATTTAAAAAAAAGAGTCAATTTGTAAGCTAAATTAATTAGTGAGTTACAATCTGAATGTGGTAAAACTGGAGCAATATCAATATTAGATAAGAAAGTAGGTTTTGCATCTATCTTCAACAACAAATCAAATGCTGACAGATGCAAAAGAAATATTTTAATCAAACAGCTGCTGAGAAAAATCAAACAATTAAGAAGCTGCTGAGAAAAAAGAGTGCCAAAATTGTGAGTCTAATGTATTAGGAAATGGAATTGTTATTCATAAGAAGCAAGATAATATAGCAAATAAGGAAGTAGTCACTTAATTTTCTTAAGCAATTGGAACCAATAAAGACATTGTCAAGGTAAATTGTTTTTGTCCTAAATATGTTAGTTTACTATCCGATAATGATATGTACTAAAGTGATATCTGTAAATCAAGCATAATTTATGTAACTTAAAAAGATTTAACCAATCAATTAAGTTTCCTATTAAAAGCATGCTATCAGACAGTGCCAGTTTACTAGAATATAAACACAAGAGAGAATCAAATAAAATCAGAACAAGCAAACTTAAAGAAACTATTCAAAGCAGAACAATGAACTTAATGCAAGAGTCAGCCAAAGAATTAAGATGATAATATAAACTGAATTACGATGATAAACTGAATTGAAAAGATACAATCAGGCTTGGACAGGAATAGCGTGCGATAAATGTTATTGCTGATCACGCAAATGATTTTTATTTTTGACAACTTGACCGCAACTGTTTAATTGTTTTGATGATATAAACATTTCAGAAATGCGCTGAAAAAAGAAACCATGAGCTTAAGTTAATTAGAAAAAAAATAAAAAAAAAACTAAAGAAAAAAGAAACCAAATCTTTTCAAAAAAGAAAATATATAAGCACTAAAAAAAAACTAAAACTTATGTTATGTTTTTAACTGCACTTGAGATAAATAACTTTAAATCTTATCTTTAAAAATATTTTATTAAAGTTATGCAAAACTTGTTAAGTATTGATTATATGATTAAAAGTATTGTTTCTAAAGTTAATAGTTAATAGTTTAAAGTTAACATACAACTCAATAAAAGTGTAGTTGAACATTTATGGAAATTAGTACAAATAGGTTGAAGTAAGATATTATTTGGGTGCATATATTGATCCTCAAGCACTCGCTTGGATGTCAATGCATCATTATATAAATCACTTAAAGTTGCAAGACATTCATTATTAAATCTATGTTGTTCAAGTATGATAGTATGTGCTGGCTTCAATTACAATCACATCAGATATGTGGATGCTGACACTGGTGGGGGAACGGTGATAATAGCCAACATCAACAAAGTGTCTAAAGGTGATAAGCAACCAGACAAACTATTCCTTAACTACCTTCGAAGAAAATTACCTTATGCAACTTGATATTCTTCCAACATATCAAAGTTTAATTGTGAAAAAGCTAAAAAATACTTTTGACCTTCTTATCAAAGATAAGCCAGAATGTGTTTTGCACTTAACAAGATATGTGCTACACTTAAAACAGATGCACCTTTTGGACATACACCACAAGGTCATGCTTGGACATACACCACAATGTCATGCTGACTTTACGATATGACTTTTACAATAATGTGTGAATATGTAATTGTAAGTACTGATCACGATTTATGCAGCAACAATTTACCAAGACTTGTAAGGGCAAAAGCTAATTTTGAGAAAATTTCTGAATATTTCAAGTCAATAAATTAGAGTTACTTATTTGCTGGCTTATCAGCAAATGATAGTCATGAAATTTTTTTTCCTAGATATAATTAGGTATGTGCTTAATATATACTAACAGGTAACTTATTTCTGGATCATGAACCTTAGATAACAGATGATGTAAAAGTTGCTATTCAACTAAAACGAGCTAAATATTTGCTGGACGATTTGCTTACAACAAATTAAAAATAGAGCATAGAGTTGCAAGTATGACAGTAAGAATATGAAGAGACCATTGTTCAAAAAGCCAATCCAAATATACTCCATTTCTTTTCGTGAAAAAAAAAAAAAAAAAAAAAGGAAATACAAAAGAACCTATCCTAGTTTTGAAAAACAATAACAAAATAATAACTGAAGGTGAATTTATTTTCAGTATTTTAAATAATTTTTTTGATTTGGTTTTTGTTGTGCAACCATTAGATAGACTACCATATTTTATAAATCGTACCAGAGTATAATGCAAATAAAATCCCTGATCACTTTTTTAATCATGAGTATATCAAAATATGACTTTGAGCAATTGATCTAAATAAATCCAATGGATTTGATGACATCCATCTACAAGTCTTATTAAATTGTTTCTCAAGTATTGCTTTATCTTTGGGAATAATTACCAACAAGTCTTCCCACATTGTTTTTTAAATATAGCACCAACGACATGCTCATTAGATGAAGAAAAGAAAATGTCACACAAGTTTTAAGGAGAGGCTCCAGACTACTGGCTTCAAACTACAGAACAGGTCTTGTTAACATCGATTCTGGGTAATAAAAGGAAGCAATTGTTTGGGAGGCTACCCTGCATCACTGTGAAGCCACAACATTATCTCAAGTAAACTACACATACTTGTATTTATAAAAAAGCGTGACTAATTAAATAAACAAAAACCCTTGACATGATCACCAAAGATTTACATCAAGCATACCTTGTGGACGTCATTTTTACAAACTTTGATAGTGCCTTACAGAAGACTATAAACTCTATGCATATGGTGTTTGGTTTTTTATAAAGTATTTTTTTTTAAATTTTGAATTTTTTTAAGTTAATATAGACCCTTTTGAAAACTTTATCAATTTTATAATATTTTATGATTTAAAAGAAGGTTAACCACAATCTTAAACATTATTAATAATTTTTTTTATAAAAGTACTTAGTAATTTACCTTTTAAAATATCTGGAAATATCGGTAATTTCGGAATGTTGAAACATTCTACAACCTTTTGAAATGTTTTTGTTAATGTTATGATATTTTGAGAATCTACTTGGAAAGATATCTTCAAAGGAACTTCTAATGTGAACAATCCAGATATTGGACATGTTGAATCATTGAAGAATGCAATGAAACTGTAGTTAAATATATCCAATTTAAAAAGACTTCCATTAAACTAAAAAATGAACATTTTTGCTACAAAAATAAAAATTTATAACATTATATAAATTCCCATAACTGTAAACAATCATTCCAAAAATACAAAGAGAAGAAACTGAACAATGCATTAGCCTAATATATTTGTAAAATAAATATTTGATATAGTTATTTTGGCGATATAATAATATAATGATATCAATTATATTTATAATTATTTTTAAGAGTAAAAAGTATTTTAAAACGACAAATAATTTATTTTACTTAGGCAAATTAAAAAAAAAAAAAAAAAAAAAGAAAAAACAATAAAAATAAACAAATAAACCAATAAAAAATAAACTGATTTAACACAAGTTATAAAGAAAACCGAAACTTATACTATAAAGAAGCAAACTTATGCTCTTTACAATGGTCTCCACATCAAATTTTATTTTAAATATAATTACATGGGTTTGCAAAAACCTAGAAAACTTCCAATCCAAGGGATTAAAAACCTGGGATTTTCTGTGATTATTTTATGCTTTAAAATTCCTTTATCTGTCAAAATATTATAATTAACAGAACAAAAAAGTAAAAAATTAAAAACAACAAATTGAAAACCACAGGAATACAAAATTAATCAATGAGTAAAAAATTTCAAATAATAAAAATAGAATTAAAAACAGAAAACTTACAAATTGAAAAATAAAATAAAGAATTTGTTTTAATAAGTTGTACAAATAATTAATTTTAATTTTTTAATAAAAGATTTTAAATTTAGAGATTAAATTGAAAGATTTTTGATAAAGAGTTGTTCCACAAGCTAATACTTTGATACTTAATGGATTTATTTCCGCACTTAGCAAAATGGTGTTTTGAAACAACCATATTTAATTTGCTGATAGAGCAACGAGTATAATAACAGTTTGAACTTTTTAATAAAAACAATTTGTATAAATTCCATTTGTAAAATTTTTTTAAATGATAAAAAATAGTATTTCCAGAAAAATGAGCATATGTGATAGTATTTCCAGTAAAACGAGTATATGCAATAGTATTTCCAGAAAAATAAGCAGTTAAAGAATACCATAAGGTCAGTGATTTTCAGCATAATTAAGATATGGTGATATTTAACATAATTAAGATATGGTCACACAAGATTATTTAAGATATGGTCACACTTATTAATTGGTGTCATACTAGAGTTAAAGATGACCAGTTCAGTTTTATAAAAATTGAGAGAATGTTTCATAGAAAAAAGCACTATTTGTATATTATAAAGTCTAGATATTATTATGAAAAATGTTTTACTACTACTTTTAACATTACTAATACTTTAAACTACTTTTAACATTAACTACATCAACTACTTATAACATTAAATTTATTTAGTACATTTTTTCAAATTTTATTGTTGCTTTTATGCAGACATTTTTTTAAGTATTCTGTTTAATTATTTTTTTTTTGGAGATTCTTAATACCCTTATTTTATTTAACTAAATTAATATTTCTAATAACAAAAAAAAAAAAGATTAGAATTGGAGAGATTTTAAACCTGTTGGACAATGTGATTGTTACAGTATGCATCATTTTTGATAAAAACTATGCAAACTGCCATATTATAAAGAGTATAATGGATGCTTAAAAAAATTTAATGTCATGTTAGTAACTATTAGACTTTAATACTTTTTAGCACAATATAATTGGTATGACAGAATGATAGCAATCAACTTGCTAATTTTTTGGTCAAACCAAATGTATATTTTGACTAAAACATTTTGTATATTGCTAATTCAATGCGTAGTATATTAATGTCAATAAATGATGTGCCGAGTACCCAGTTTTCTGATGATTCTGCATTTTACCAGGTACCCAGAATTGGCCATTTTGTTGTAGCATCTGGGTATCTTAAAATAAATTTTTAATAAAAGTTAACCTTTAGCGCTATTACTATTTGTTTAATTGCTACTTAAAATTGTGTCAGAAAATTGTTAACAGGATTGCTTTAAGTTTAAACTTCAGCCAATAAACTTCTTGATATACGTCTAAGAGTGTTATGGAGTCAATAACCACAAAACTCTATTTGTTCAATATAGATATGTGTAACTTTAAATATAATTTTAAAATGTATTTTTGAAAAACAATCAGAATATATTGCAAAAACAAAACTGATTTATGGTTATTTTACTATCTTCTTTTCATTGTGTGAGGGAATTGTTTCACAAGGGAATTTTTCTAAATGGAAAGAGTTAATATTAATTTTAAAACTCTAGATGTTTTTGGCATTAATGACGTCAGACAGCAAGTTATTCCAAATATTAACAAATTTGAGGAAGAAAGAGTATTTAAGAACATCCAATTTGCAAATTAGTTTGGGTAATTTTAATTTGTGACCTCGAGTGTAAATATATTTGTTTTTTTAAAAAAAAAATATATATTTATGCAAACTTAGTTTGCGCAAATTAACAAGCGCTATTTTCTAAAAACAATTTAGCACTAAAGATTTCACAAGCTTTTATTCCAGCAATTTAATATGGACTCAGTACTCAGACTTGAACTTGGATTTTCTGTGGGGTACCCGGAATCGGAGACTTGGCATAAACTGGTTCTGGAACATCTCTAATTTCAATAATTTAAAATACATTTAAATGCGATTCAATGTGTAGAATATCAATGTCAATGTTTTTTCAATGTATTTTGTTAGATGCAGTATTTTTCCTAATGCACTTCTAAAATGTCATGCCTGGTTTTCTCAAAGTACTGTTGCGGGAAGTAGCTCCTTTTAACTACTCCAGGTCAGGTCAGGATAATCGAGATCAATCTTGCTACTGGTATCACGTAACCCAGTACCACCTGCCACAAGCCCTGCTGCCTTGCAGAGTGTGCTCTTCTTATGCAAAGGCTAGGAGAAATAAACTCCGACTAAAAATTCCCCTGCCTTGGGGCTCTTGGTTGAGTAAAGGCTAGAGATGGTGTCTCAATAAAAACACTCATCATGGGCAGATGTTAACTGCATCCAGCTAAACATCCCTTGCCTTGGGGCTCTTGGTTGAGTAAAGGCTAGAGATGGTGTCTCGATAAAAATACTCATCTTGGGCAGATGTTAACTGCATCCTGCTACTGTCTTGTAGAAGGCCTCCTAGGCAAAGACTTCAGGGGTTAGCAGAAAAATTCTGCTAACCAGCCTCGAACCCCTTCTTCATCTATTAGGCTGGCGTAGATGTAACCTGTGTTACATTGTTTCCTGCCTAGGATGATGAATGCTGGATCTCCTTGACTCTACTCATAAAATTTTGCTTATACCTCCTTGATAATGGTTATGCAACTCTTCCTGTTATCTCCATATGAGGGTACAGCTCTAAAACTCAGTTTAATGGTTCTGAGACCGGCTGGTAGTAAGGTTTCCCGAACTCTGTGGTAGCTCTCAGAGAGGCTGATTCCATCAACAGCTGCAAAATATCAGAGTATTAACAGTGCCATGTTGCGCATGGATGGTGTCCCTGTTAATGCTTTTGGTGTGCATTGTCAAGGCCACATATGGAGCCCTATGTCACGGCTTAGGGTTAATTAACAGGACTGAGACAACTGCATAGCTCATTGATTAGGAGGCTGTGCTCTATCTAAGAATGAGCCAAGTTCTCATTAAACCCAAATCATGACCAAAGTAACCAAAAATTTAAAACCTAAAAAACCATCCCCACCACCTAAATATTTTAATATATCTTTTACAAATATTCGCGGTCTACAAAGCAACTTTCCATCAGTTGAGTCTTACTTCCTGCAAAATTCACCAGACTTGCTTGCACTCAGTGAAACAAATTTAAGTTCTGCAATTCCTTCTTCAGATGTCAGTGTTGATGGGTACTATCCTTTGATTCGTAAAGACTCCAATAGTCACATGCTAGGTTTAGGGGTATACATACGCATTAATTCCCCTATTTGTCGTGAAATCAGGTTCGAATCCTTTGACCATTCTTTTATGTGCTTTCGCCTACCACCTCTTCACTCTATCACCTTTCTCTTTGTTCTTTATCGTTCTCCTTCTTCCCATGATTGCACTCTTTTAGATGTTATCTCTGATCAAATTGACCATGCCCTCTCTCTTTACCTCTCTGCCAATATTGTTGTTGTTGGTGATTTTAATGCCCGTCACACGGAATGGCTTGGCTCTAACACCACTGATCCTGCTGGGACTAAAGTCTTTAACTTCTGCGTTTCTCAATCTCTTACTCAGATAGTTAACTTTGTGACTCGTTTTCCTGACAACCCTAATCAATTACCTTCACTCCTTGACTTATGTCTTGTCTCTGACCCTAGCTTATGTTCAGTTTCTCCCTTTTCTCCCTTAGGTGGTTCTGACCATGCAATGATCTCTATAAATCTTTCTTCTCGTACTTCTTTTTTGGGCTCACCTTATCATCGCACCACCTATTACTACCCTAAAGCTGACTGGGATTCCTTTCGTGATTTTCTTCGTGATGGTCCTTGGGCTGATGTTTTTTCTCTCTCAGCTGACAAATGCGCCTCCTACGTAACCTCCTGGATTCAGGCTGGAATGGAAGCTTTCATTCCTTCTCGCCGGTTTCAAGTCAAGCCTCATTCTACTCCATGGTTTTCTCCTTTTTGTGCGGCTGCTATATCCAATCGTAACCATTTTTTTCATCTTTTTCAAAAGAACAACTCTCTTGAGAACAAACGGCTATTTATTATTGCAAGAAATCGATGTAAAAAGGTGCTTTCTGATGCTAAACTCCATTATTCTCAGCTCACTAAATCTCACATCTTATGGCAGAAGTTAGGCTCTAAAGACTTTTGGAAAATCTTCAACAGCATTGTTAACAAGGGTAGATCTAACATTCCATCTCTCATTCATGGGACTGATCTTGTTACCTCTCCCAGGAATAAGGCAGAACTGTTTGCAAAGAACTTTTCTTCTAATTCCACTCTTAAATCTTATGGATATTCTCTTCCTTCCATTCCAGTCAAACAGGTTGACCCATTGTTAGACATTCAAATCACTCCGCCTTCTGTTGCTAAAGTCATATCTCAATTAAACTCGTCTACAGCTTGTGGTCCAGACAACATTCCTGTCACAGTCTTGCAGAATTGTTTTCCAGAACTTTCTTTAATTCTCTCTAAACTATTTAACAAGTGTTTGACTGAGTCTTGTTTTCCTGCTTGTTGGAAAATGGCATCTGTGGTTCCAATATTCAAAAACTCTGGAGAAAATTCTGACCCCTCCAATTATCATCCGATCAGTCTTCTTTCTGTTATTAGCAAGGTCTTTGAGTCTTTGATAAACAAATTCCTACTTTCTCTTCTTGACAAGGTCCAAAAACGCATTGTAAATGTTGTTGGACCTGGACTATCTGCTAAGCTTGAACCTCTTTCCCATCGTCATAAAGTTGCATTTCTTTCTCTTTTCTACAGATACTATCATGGTCACTGCTCAAAGGAGTTGTCATCTCTAGTTCCATCAAATAAAATTCATTCTCATTTTACTTGTCATTCAGCTAAGTCTCATTCGTTTACTGTATCTGTCCCTGCATGCTCTAAAAACTTTTATTCATCTAGTTTTTTTCCCTGCACTTCAATCCTTTGGAACTCTCTCCCATCTTCATGTTTTCCTGACTCATACAACCTTCAACTTTTCAAGTCTTCTGTCAACCGTTTCCTTGCTCTATAACTCTGTTCTTTTTTTTCCTAGTAACTCCCAACTTAATAGTGGTTGCTTGCAGCCTTGTTTGGAATGAATGCAAATAAAAAAAAAAAAAAAAAAAAAAAAAATGTTAATGTTTCGCAACACATATGAGCCTGATTCAATGTCTAGTATTCTGATGCAATGTCTAGTATTATTGTCAATATTTTACAACACACTTGAGCATGATTTAATCTACACATATGAGCATGATTCAATATGTAGTATATTAATATTGCAAGATAAAAGCACTTTAATATGCTTAACTGCAACCAATGTCTTATTTTATTTTTAAATTAATAAATTAAAAAAATTGTTAACTTTAAAGAGTGTATTTAAAAAAATTAATAAATAATTATGTAACAATTAAGGTTATTATGTAAAAAGTCATCTAAAAAACTCTACCAAAAAAACTGAACACAAAAGAAGAATATATGTTTTACAGAGGAAAAGAGGAAAACTTCTGTTTAAATAAGCAGTTTATAAATAAAGAGATAAAATAAACATAATTTGTATTAAAAAATTAAGAGTTTAAGAATGTCAAAATTACTATAAATTATAAAAAAAAATTACATATTCAGCTGCAAACTTAACCAAGCTGCAATCAGCTACTAAAAGAATGGAAAGTTTACTAAAAAAAAAAAAGAAAAAAAAAAAGAATTGAAACCTAGGCTTTAAAAAGTGTTGAAATATCTCTAATTAAAATTTTAAAAAAATAATTAAAAAAAAAAAAAAGATAAAGAAAATGATAACAACAATTAATAAAAACTGTTTGTTCAAAAGGATTTTTTTTATTATTCACTTTTCTTGTTTTTATTTTTACTTGATTTATTAATTGAATTACGTTTTCTTTTTTAAAATAGGTCTTTCTAGTTAAAAAAATTTATTATATTGCAAAGGAATCAAATACTACAATTTCAACATTTATTACAATGATGCTATTAAAGGTTTGTTTTTATTCAATACAATTTTTTTGAGAAGCAATATATAAAAAACAAGTATTTTTTATGAAATCAAAACTTACAGAAAACTTCAGTTGATTGGTATTGGTTCTAACTAAATGTTGCCCAACATTGTATGTTAAAACACTTAAAAATACCGGTAAGAAAATTTCAAACTCAATATATGTGATTGATATTATATTGTATGTTGGATACATTTTTATGCTCATCATAACAATATTTCTAAATAAAATGTTTTTACATCAAATACAAAATCCAACTTAGCAAAACACAGATCTCTTTAATTTTAAATAAATGGACATAAGACATCTTATGTTAACATATGACATCTTAAAGTTCGTTAGTAAATCTGAGTAATGTTTATTTTTTGTATTATAATTATATTATACAATATTTTTATTATGTATATAACAGTACATATTGTGTTATATACTGTATATACATAATATTATAATATTTATATTATGCAGCCCTCAGAATAAGGAAAAATAAGGTTGGCAATAAACTGCTGACATTAAACTGTTAGAGGTCGGCATCAGGTTGGTAAAAAAATTTGACATAAATGGGTTACCATATAACATAGAAATAAGGTCGATATTTTTTACTGACCTCAAACACTTTAAGGTTGGTAATTAGGTCAGCATTGCCTATAGAAAATTTACTTTTCACAATGGCATTTTGTGTTGACTTTTAACTGAACTATGGAGGTTTTTGAATTAAGGAGATTGTAATATATTTCATAAGTTGACAGATTTCCTGTCGACTTTACGTTTGAATGAATTTTAGTAATGATTAGTTCAATGGAAATTTAAAAAAAAAGATACCATTGTAATGTCTAAATTATACTCAAGAGATTTCTATGAAAAACATTAACAAAAAAAAACGCGGAAAACTATAAACAATAACTTTTTTTAAAAGCACGTATGTTTACTCGTGTTACATATTCGATCTATAGGTCGATAGTTAATAGATTGTATTTTTTGATTGAAATATAAAGATATATTTATTATATCTATAAAATATAGATAAACTATTTAGTTAAAATAATATACGACCAGTTTAAAAAAAAAATTAACATTTAGACATTATATAATATGTTATTTTTCAACTATAAGTAGACTTATTCTACTAGTAAATCTTGCATCAAGTCAACAATAATAAATATATAGACTTGTATTTTAATATTTCTATGTTTTTATAAATTTTTTAAATATAAATATATGTAAAAATGACAAATAAACTTTAAAATATGCGTATAAAATTTATTTTATACTATTTCCATGACAAGTTGAAATATATGTACATGCGTTAAAATCGCAAAGTCAACAAATTTTTTATTTCTTTTTAAAAAAGCGCTTAATTGTATATATATTTATTCTTTTAAACACCCAATAATTACATAAACTATAGGTAAAAGTATTAAAAAAACAAAAAACAAAGCACATTTAAGTATTTTCTTGCATCGTTCTTGGAATGTTTTCCTCCATCAGCGTTCTAAATACTTCTCTTTGTTCCTTTAAATTCCAGTGTTGGAACGATTGTTTTAAGATCGCCGCAACATTGGCCTCCAATGCTTCCTGAGGGCGTGCAATTATAATTTTCTTACCCTCGATCATAAATTGGAGCATGTTTATATCAGCTTTCTTACACATTATCATTACCTCACCCACAAATGATCGTTGATTCATTAAAGGCATCTGAGTCCGTATAATCGAGTAAATTGATCACCTAAATTTGAGTCCGTATAATCGAGTAAATTGATCACCTAAATTTTTTTTCTATACAAATAACTAATCTTCGCAACATCTGTTAGTGAAAAATGAATTGAAAAAGAAAATTTTTTATGTCGACTTATGGTGTAAAAAATAATTGCTGTCGACTTTGAATATATATATATATATATATATATATATATATATATATATATATATATATATATATATATATATATATATATATATATATATATATATATATATATATATATATATATATATAAATATATAAATATAAATACGTATATTTATATATATATATTATATATATATATATATATATATATATATATATATATATATATATATATATATATATATATATATATATATATAAATATATATATATATAAATACATATACATATATATATATATATATATATATATATATATATATATATATATATATATATATATATATATATATATATATATATATATATATATATGTGTTATATATATATATATATATATATATATATATATATATATATATATATATATATATATATATATATGCATATATATACTACATTTGCTATAATTTTATCTGTAAAGAAAACAAAAAAAAAATTAAGTTTTTAGCTCAAGAGGAAGGCTATTAGGTGAATATACTTTTATATAACAATTTATAATTAAAAAAAATAATTGATTTTAGAAAATGTCTCTAGACAAATTATTATATAAACTAATTCACTGAGAACAGATATTAATGATGCGTCAAAAGCTACAAGGAAGAGAGGACAATTTTTTTTCTAGAGCTCCCTTTTTTTTCTTATTTCCCTAATAGACTTCCAACAAGACATAAAATTTTTGAGGCTTTGTCTGAGAGGGGATATGGTCGAATTCTAGAACATGGACAATAAATTTTGTACAAACTCTCATTTTCTAGAGGGCACAAGAAAAAATAATTATGTCTGAGAAAATCCAAAGACATGAAGATAAAAATAAGAAAATGAAAAAAAAGAGTAAATATTCTGACGGTGACTTTCAAGCACAGATAGTGACAATCAAACTGAATGCAACAAACTATATATACTTCCAGTTAAAGTCCAGAAAAAATAGAAAAGGTTTCAGAATGACATCAGAGTTTTCCTTCAGTTAAGTATAGAAGATATTCTTAATAATTGGATTCCAAGTGAGATCAGATTTGGGATTGGAATCAGGCCAGGAATGTATCTTTTGTCATCTCTTTACAAGGCTGGTGGAGTTAATACTGATAATATGTCAACATCAAGATCAACTATAAACAGAAAGACTCATAATGTTGTGGTGTCTGAGGCACAGATAGTTTGAGAGGAAAATATAGATAAAATAAGAGGTCTAAAAATTGTGGTACATTTTGATACCAAGATTTTGAAGAGATACAATGGGGAAAAAGAAATATCTAAAAATGAGGATAGAATTGCTAATAGTGCATCGAAAGCTCCAAGGGAAGTGATCAAGCTATTGCAGTTCAAACTATGCTCGAATACTATGAAATGTCAGATCAAATTATTGGATTGTGTTTTGACACAACATCCAGTAACACTAGTAAAAATAAAGGTGCTGTAAGCATTATTATTTCTAATGCCTTTAAAAGACGGGTTCTCTAGATAATGTGCAGACATCACATTTATGAAGTACACATGGCTCATGTGATAAAAGAAATGTTTGGTCCAACAAGTGGTTCCAGCAAGAAACTTTATGTAATTCTCCAAAAAATTGGCCGCAGATTTACTAAGATGTTGCTTGAGGGGAGGGGGTCAAACTTTTTATTGTTCATAGTTTTCGAACGTTAAAAGATTTTTGTGTCAATTTTAAATTTTTTCGATGAATATAGATTTAGTTAAGAATAGCAAAGAAAAATAATGTATCAACTTATTGCTCTCACGTTTGAGGCCTTTGCAACTAAAATTTTAGGGCTTTTTTGTTGCCAGGCTCCATTATAATTCTTTGCAAGGCATCCTTATATGACATAAGTATAAACATATATGTTTGAAGTTTGATTCCTGTCTGGAAGTTAATCATCTCAAACATTAATAAAAAGCTGTAAAAATTATTTTAAACGTTAGAAAAAACCTGTCTTAAAATTATTTAGTGTTCATTTAGGTGTATTTAAAAAAAATGTTTGTAGACAGGCCTTGTTTTAAATAAAAAATCCTCAACGCAATAGCCCAATGGGAATTAGACGAAAAAATTCTCTTTATCTTGTAATTTTTTAAAGACATAAACATTTTAAATTACTGCAATAATATTACTGCAAATTACTGCAAAACGCTTGAATTTTTATTTAAATTCAACATTACATTTAAAAAAATGTTTAATATTAACAAATTTTATTAACTTTTCAACATTTGCCTAAATGAATTAAAATATGTTAAATTTTGGAACTTTTAATGATAATTTCTTAAATGTCTAATTGTTTTAAAATGTCTAAAACTTCTCGGTATTGCACATGCATGTATAAAACATTCAATTAACCTTATATTTATAGTAAACCTCAAAGAACGTTTCATAAATTTGTCAAAAACTTATCGCATAATATTTTTTAAAGAATTCAAAGAACTTTTCAAAAATTTTGCTTTGGAGTCGGAGTCGGAGTTGTACTTAAATAATTTTAACAACTGGAGTCAGAGTCAGAGAAATTACTTTTTTTTTACGACTCCACACCCCTGCTTTAACTTTAATAAACTGAAATATATTTTTTAAATAAAAATTAAATTCCATATTTTAAAATCTAGATTAATTTATATATTTTTTATAAGAATAAAATTTTATATTTTTATTCAATTAATTTTAATTTAAATCATATATTTTTTATTAAATTATATTATTATGGTATTTAGTTCAAGCTCAAATTTATTTCAGTTTTTTTCAATAGTAAATTGAATTATTATAATAACAAGTATAAATAAAATTAATTATAATAGTGAATAAAATTAATAATTAGTAAATTAAAAACATTGTCATTCAAACTTTTGTAACATATATTTTTACATAAACGTCATTCAAAAGTTATTGTAATTTTTATAAAAATTACTTCTTTTATCATACTGCTTATATAATAATTTACAAGATAACAAATGATAAAAAGTTGCTCAACCAAAATCGTTTACTAATTACATAAAATCTCTTAAGGAGTACATAAATCTTTCTACGCATAACGCTTTAAAACAAGGCCTGACATGAGTATATAAATATATATAAATATATATATATATAAATATATATATATATAAATATATATTATATATATATATATATATATATATATATATATATATATATATATATATATATATATATATATATATATATAATATTATATATATATATACATATATATATATATATATATATATATATATATATATATATATATATATATATATATATATATATATATATTAATATATATATATATTATTATTATTATTATTTATTATTATATATATATATATAT